GGAAGAGTGGTGGGGTAAGACCCTTTGTCCAGGGTGGGACACACACACACACACATACTCACACACGCGCATGATCAGTCAACTCGTCTTTGTCTGCCCCATGTATTGTATGCAACCCAACATTACCCGACAAAAAAGGGTGGACTTCCCAATTCTAGTCCTAACATGTCCCAACTCCTTGAACTCTTGTAGGACCTGCAAGAATCCAAACCTGCGAGCGACCTATGACCCCAGGTCTGCCAACGCATGAGACGCAGCCATGGTGGTCACTGATCAGCTGAGACATGGCATGCAGCAGCCTCCAACCTAAGAGCGATGGCCTCCAACCTAGAACTAAACTAGTGTCTAGTGTCTAGTGTGTCGAGCTGCATAGTCCTCCTCTTGCGAAGTCTTGTCCTGGAGATCCGGATTGATCAGCAGCGGCGCCAGGCATCGCACCTCGCGCTTGGGGCGATGACCTTCGGGCAGAATTGCCACCTTCTCCTCGGCGGATGGTGATGGGCTGATCCTTCGCTGGTTTTAACTCCATTCCATTGAATTGGCGGGTCAATTACTTAGTGGCACCAGATTCATCAAAGACAACTCCCATCATGGGTGCCAGTTGTTTACGCCGTTCCTGGGTCAGCAACCTATGTCTAGTACACAGTGCCCTACAGGAAGACCTTTCCGCAACACAGGCTCCAGCCATACTGCAGGGCAAAATCAACATAAGGCACTGAGAAATAGCAAAACCAAAGGATGTCTGAATCTCAATGCCCCAATATGCTGTGAGGTGTTTGATGCAGCTTACAAGTCCGACAGTCCACCCAAACAATGCAGCGCACTCGAACGGTTGGAATGTCGAGTTTTGCGGTTTGAACAAACGGCTCGCAGCCACAAACAGGTCATTTTCCAATTCAAGTCAAAGCCCGCTCAGAGCATACACCGTTGCGATGTTCAAACGCTGAATCGGCCGCCAAGTAGCGACGGTGCCGAGTTTCTCCACAGCAAAGGTGCCCCGCAGCATTCTCCTCGGCGTCTGGTTGGAGCAAAAGCAACCTCACCCTTCTCCGTTTCAACGTTTGGGCGGGGGAACCCATCCAATGTCAGAAACTTGACCCCGCCAAAGTGGCTGGGCACCAGGCAACACAATCATGGGACATAGAACTGTACATTGTACATGTTCCCTCCACTTCCAAGAGTTTGTTGCTTAGGAACTGGAAGAAAACAAATGCATCTCTCAAACCTGTCCAAAACTGCCCAACCTAGATCATCTCTGTGAAAAAAAGTCCCATCATCTATCCTCATTATGGAGTCCTCATTCATGCATCTGGACAATCCTGTAATCATGTCGCTTCATCCATACAATGAGGCTCATGATGTCGGTAGAACCCACATGCTCCCATGTCGGTCCTAGAGTCCAAATATCCAACGCCAAGGCTCAGCTCCTTCCAGGCATCAACCGCAGGAAGTTCCGCCGTGTTCTTCGAGATTCTCAGTTTGTTTGGAGCCAAGGACCTTAGGCCACACGAGGCGCAAACCGACGCTTCGCTCGGCCGGCGCGAACCGAATGCGCACGAAGGAATAGAGGCCATGACACGACACACACACACACATGATGAATGCTATTCAGTGAAACACGTTGCACCGAGATTCTATTCAATAAACAGTGCCGGATCAATGACACGTTCAAACAGATTTCAATTTATATATATATATATATATATTTACAAAATATGTTAAACATTTGAACCAATATGCCATATGCTCACTCCATCAATGCAAAACAAGAAAGGAACCAAACAGTTTGAAGGACATTGCAGAATGTCTGCAGCTAGCAGCCTCGTTAAGTTAATTTTAGGCGACATCTTTAGAACCAAAATAATTCGAGCTCTCCAATGGCAGACCAAACACTGGCGAGCTCTCTGATCCGCCACTGGAGGTTCGACCACTCTAATTACCAAGGTGGGAAAACGGAGCTTGTTCTGCTCTCATAACAAATACAAGGTGGATCGACATGGAGGGCAATCGTCGTGACCAATGTATGCAGGACACCTTGGCCAGATCGAACGAAGCATCTACATATTTGCTTATCATTGCTTATCCATTCTTTTGTTTTGACCGTCCAACCCCTCTAAATCAAATGGACCGTGCACGAGCACTCTAAATCACCCCTAAAGGTCAAACCGGGCGGCAGTTCGGCGCTCTCTTCCCGGCGGGTGCTAAACGCCAAGCCGGAGAAGTGAACGACCATCGGTGTGGCATTCCTGGAAATCCGGAGATGATACCAGCGAATCTTAGACGTCTGCTTGCTGTGACATGTTCACTGGAGATTCATAAAGTGTCACTTCGAAGACTCCAGAAATGGATGTGGGGGATCACGGCAACAATTTGTGGCTGTGAAGAAGGCCCTGGTGCGTTCAGGATGCTTTGTCTGCAAAACACGTGTTTTGACAGTGACGGAGTTCGTTCATTTGGGGGAATACACAGAGGGCTTGGTGCTGCAAAAAGCTTGGACTCTTCATGGCTCAACACATGGAGTGCACAAACCATCAAGGGAATTCCAACATCAACAACACCGATCCTTACCCTGTGCAGCCTGCAGCACAGACAATAATACAGCACTACCAAGACCTTTCTCATCAATGATGAGTATTCATCGGCCTAGCAGCAGCTACCAATCCACTCTCAGCTTGAGACATCCTTTAGCAGTAGTTTGGTCGCAATCTGAAGTAAGTACCACTGATTGTTTAGTCGATTTCCCGGAGACAAAAACAAAGAAGCACATCAGTACATCCATCAGAAGAATGACCAAATGGTACCAAATGCACTACAAAATGCATAATTTACTACTAGACAGCTTGTGTTCTTGGTAACAACAACCAGCGTTGATGGCCAAGCTTCTTGTGAAACCTCATGTACAAATGTCGGTCCGTGTCATTCACCCAGACCTGCACAAATCGGAGGCTTCGTCGAAACACGAACGACACCCAAAAGGTCCAAACCAAAATTAATAGCTTCTTGTTCCTAGTAATAAGGCCAGGAGCCCCTAGTAGCGTCCTTGCTCCTAGTAGCGATGCCAGGAGCTCCTAGTAGCTTCTTGTTACGTCGGTCCAAATGTGTGTTTTTGTCCAACGTGTTTGTCCTTGTTCCAGATTGTGGCAGGACAACCATTTAAGCGAGAACAAGAGGACCGCACGGACGGAGTCCAAAATTACGTTTTACATTGTTTGAGGCATAAATCTGTCATGGACAAACCGCAAACAAAGATAAACAACGCATGTTTTATGTGTTTTTTTCGTTCATGTGTCTCGCACCTGCAATATACTTCTGGTTGATTGGTACCGATGCTCCAATATGATTGATCAATAATGATCAATATGCTGCAATCTGTCAATTGCAATAGCCCAGCAAATTCTTTTGTGCGTTTCTTGTTTGCGTGTTTGTGTTTTCTGCCAAGCAATGCCATGTTGCGGGTTCGAAAATATGGTATTGTGTGTCATCCAAGCTCCACTATGAGCATTCTGCAGTGGAGCGATCCAAAGCCTTCGCTTGAAGTCATCTGATTGATTGTTCCAGCTGTATGAACAGTGATGCCCGTGATCACCAGAAACATGGGTCAAGCGGACTGTGACTAGATTTGGATTAGGGACCGAACCTCCGTGAGACTCTTCACACTTTGAAACAACTGGGATCTGTGGACTGAACACCATGGAACTGTAATGTGCCAAAGTTTTTGTATCAACAACCGGTTGACAATGGGTGATCGGGGTTCCGGTTAACATACGTCTCAAAGATGCAATCCAAATCTCCAAACACTTGAACCCAAACGCCTGGTCTCCAACCCGTCCGCCCGTCTGCTCGTTGCCACGTCACACTGGCGCTGCACTGTCGGATGCCTTCGAAGCGTGACACAGCGATGGGCGCCACGAATTGCCCTCAGCGAGACACAGCGATGTCGGGTTACACAGTACAAAAGGGACCGACCAGCACCTCCCAAGGGAGTACAAATGGACTACCATCCAATAGTCACGACAGTCACGGGATTCCATGGAATTCCAGCAACATGGTGCAACCCAAATTTGCAACCCAAAACTCGAGCAGGCCTCAAACAAGCCCCTTAGGATCTTCCCCGTCTGCCATCCCCCCTAAAGATAGTGTGCAGCTGCATATTTTTTACCGTGTTTTTCTTTCATTCTTGAGGCTTCTCAATGTGGATTGAACCACAAAAACCCATTGGTGAGGCATATCACAAATGATTTTGGAGCTCTATATAATAAACATACGTAAACACCATTAAACACCACAGCTCGGCTTCTATTCCGTTCCATGTTATGGTTATTAATGGTTATTAGTAGTATTTAACTATATAATTCCAGGGGCCCGTGGTACATACCCCCTACCAGGAGGTAGTCCCTGGAATAAATTGATGGCCCCGCATTATTTTCCTAACTTCCGAAGGTTTCCAAGGCACACGTGCAACGTGGTGCGTACCACAACGGCACATTTGTCAGGCGAGTGGTAAATTGGTCCTGAGACAGCTGAACCAGGTACTGTATCTTCTTCGCGACCGTGAAACGTGTCTACATGAAAAGGCCAATTTCCTAATTGCATTCAACCACAAATATCCTCATGGCAAACCTTCAGAAAGTGGCCCACCCAAGTGGTCAGGTCGAACCGAGCAGATCATACAGCCAATCACGCAAACTGATAAGCTCGCAAACATGCAATGAAACAAACGGAGAATAACACTTGATAGCACATGTTCCTCGTTTTCCTTTTCCATCAACAAATTTGAAGGCGCTCTAAGTAAGCCGCAGTTTTCCCTGGCCTTGTTCTGCATTGGCTGTGTGGTGGTCACACAACCGCTCAGCACCACCAGGCCATCATCATCGGAGGGGCAGTAGTGGGCTGTCAAGAGGTGGGGTTTGATGCTGTCCTTGGAAACCATTCCGTCGACATGCAACGCATGAGTTGTCATCGAGCCAATGTTTCATCCAACAATATAATATCAAGTTCCGATCAAATTGATTCGTCCTCACCCAAGATCTTTCAATTGGAAAGAAAAGAGTCCAGCATGGTCCAGTTACCTCTAAGGCGTTGTTGGATCGGTCAACAGGACATGGTACTGGTACCGTGCCCGTTGCTGGACGTGCACGTGGTACTGTCGCATTTGGGAGTTGCTGTGTCACATTACTGTAAAGTTTTGTGTTTTCCAAGCATCATGGGAGCCCTAATTTCTGCATGGGTATCAGGCCCCGAAGAACATCCCTTCATCTGCGAGGGTCCATGATTTAAAAGGCCATTAGGGATTTGCTTGAACGCAGCATTCTCATGGAGAGGATATCTTCACACGGAACAGTATGATTCGGTCTCCCGCAAAGTGCCCCCTCAAGCAGAAACAACACAAACCTCCTGCTTGGCTGGCGAAGTCAAGATGATCATCAAACAAGAACTGAACCTTCTCACAGGCTTCACATTCTCTCGACTTGTTCAAACCTGTTCCTTTGTTTCATCACAGTTCAACTGCTGTTGGACTCAAGAGGCTCGCTTCGACCCCTCCATTCTGGCAAAGCATCATAGTTGAAGCCATACCAGTTCTTCCGCAATCTCACCTACGCCGAAGAGGCGCATGCCATCTTCCCGCATGGCTGTGTTGATGGGAAAAAGATACCCAGTTGGTAGTCACCGGGGTTGCAGTGGCTACAAAAAATATAAAATCATCAAATGAATGACATAACATTGCTGTGCAGGTTACCACATGACAGGAGCTCCTCAAGTTCAACGACATTTTAACGAAGGGATCCAACTTAAGGTCAGTGCGAATACTGTTACACGGGGACAGGCCCAAAAATATCCAGTCAAGGTGGGTAGATCCAGTCTGGTTCACCAAACACCTGGAAATAACCTTGTTCCAAAACTCCCAAACTCGGAAACCTTTTCCAAAACAAGCTCAAGTAACACAGTTCTCCGAGTGTTATTTGATGTTATTTGGACATCACCTTGTTCCCAAACTCCAAAACAAGCTCTTCCGTCGCTCCGATGATTTGGCCGTCGCACCGTGGAACCGTTTCTTTTTCCCGGTGGACCAGCTCACACTGATGGAGACGGGCAGCTCATTCCCAGCAACCGCTATTGGCGCAGTAATGAGTAAAGGACTAGAGTTGCAAATTGATGCAAATTGCAACTTGGTAGCCGAGCATTGAGAATGGGAGACGGTTCTTGACCAGCCATGATCCGCATGACGGATCAAACATCCAACACAGTTCCACTATGCGGGATATCTACTAAGTCTTCGAAACCAGTGGCCAATGGCTCACCGATGGACTAGCTGGACATACCTGGACTGCATTGGACCCCCCTTGAAGCTCATCTCTTCCAATGCAAGCAACGCCTCGGGGTCGTCCATGCTCCCACAAGATCGCCAAGTTCGAGGAGATTGGCAAATAACAACACAAACAGAACGGAGTGTCATTTGTCTTGCTGCTGTTCTTGTGCTTTTCGCTGGTGCTGCTGCTGCTGCTGTTGTTGTTGTCACTTTTGTTGATTCTGCCATGGTCGCCCAAATCTGTACTGTATCATACCGTATCTGGGATATGCTATCATTAACCACGTGGACAGAATCAAGCAACTCAACGTACCTCCATGATCCAGTGGTGTTTCATGTGTATTTAGGCATCATGTAGCTCTTAAGGTCAAACATGAAGAACTGCTCAGTGAAATCACATTGAAGACAATGATTTTCTGCTCATGAGCCCAAAACCACTGCTGGAGAACCATCTGGAAACCACCTGCAATCATCTCACTTCGCCAACAAATTGCTCGTGAAGAAGAGCCTAATTCCACTAGTCACTATTTTCATATGAATAAGAATTCATAAAATAATTGTGCTGTTTGAACATGTCAAACGGAATCTGTATCCTCACAATCTCATGCGATTGAGCAACACTGATTGCTATCAATGCCCCAGCCATATACATGTTGAGGCATGGGTGTTTGCGATTATCAGGAATCCCAATGCACAACGACAACAGCAATCACAGCCACAACCATGGAATGAACGAATGAAGCTTTCAGATCTGTTTCTTTATATTATAGTCGACACACCCCTCAATGCTGACCTTTGTCATTGTCCTGCTCCAGTCCTCAACATCTTCACAGGTCCTTCCTGGATTCGTTGTCTCGGCCCCACCGAATCCGGAGAATCCAGATCCGTCGTCGCGAGAGGCGAAGGGGGCGTCCTTCAGGTTCTCCTCGAGGCATTGTTGTCGGAGGAGCTTCACCTCTTTCTTCAATCCTCGTGACGCGCGCTTCAGTGTCCAAGAGCGACATGTGAGAGAAGGGTTGAGAATCCTTTCCTCGGAGCTATAACACCACCTATGCGATACTGCCCGGCTTCAACACTTTCTTTCCCACCCGCTCTTCAATTCTACCCAAGTGAGTCTCCTGAATCGATGTTGAATTTCACCGGTCCCATCACCCTATTACTTTACAATTGACCCTAACGCTCCCCCAAAAGCCAGCCAAGTCTCCATCTCGTTCTGCCTCTAATGCCACAAAGGCGTTCTCCAGCTCAGCCCAGCCTTGAGACCGTATCAACTCAGTTGATGTTGATGGATCGAAGCACTTGCAGAAGGCGTGGATTGGGACAAACATGGGATTGGGAGAAACTTTGGAGTGGATTTGGTGGATCCAAAGGCGTATCAGAAATGGCATTCGATCGGCTGAGCTGCAACTGCATAAACATGATGGACCACCTTACCTTTGGACCTATCAGAAAACGGCATTAACGGCGTCAAGGTCCACTGATATCCACTGGTTAGACGGTTAGCCGAGAAACGATTCTGTGCTTCCACATCTGCCACCGACGGCATCGGTGCCGTTGTGACCTCCATGGGCACGGCCGTCTCCGCCGCGGGCTCCGCCGGCTGCTCTGCCGGTGCCTGCGGCTCTGGCGGTTCAGGTGGCTCCACCGGCGTCGCACCGGGCGTGGTCGCCTCTGGGGTTGACGTCGTGGGCGCTGGCTGGGCCGGTGCTGGCTGGGCCGGTGCCGCCTGGGCCGGTGCCGCCTGGGCCGGTGCCGGCTGCGGTGCTAGTGGGGGCTCGACTGGTGCTGTGTCCGCTGGAGCCGGCTGCGCAGGGGGTTCCACCGCAACCTCTGTCGGCTGGGCGGGGAGGGTCTCGTCCGCAGCTTTTGGGGCGGAACTGGCAGGGGCTGACTCAGGTGCAGGCGCCATTGCCAGAAAAACTCTGTGTATAGAAAGAATCTGTACTGTACATGTGTGAACACGTTCCATTCCTATCCCAAGGAGAAAACAACTCGTCGTGTACTGCTTCAAGAGCTTCATGTTGCCACCAGCTTGGCTCAAAGGCGTAGGCTGGTGTACTCATGAGTGTGTGGATGTGGAGTTTAATGAGTGGGGTGGTGGCTGGGTGTGTGTAGCAGTGTAGCAAGTGCTGATGTATGTTCAAGCAAACTCAAGCTAAGAGCTCCAGCTCTCAAAGTCACAGCAAAATGAGTCCATGCAGTTCAATAGTCCTCACTTCCTGGAGTTGTTAAAAGAGATGGGGATAGTTGGGTCAGAAATCGAACGCCTCCGTCAGCCAAGGAATCTTTGCACATTCCTTTATAATTCCTATGTTTGACCACTTGACCAACCTGAAATGATTTGGTTAGGCCAAATGACTCATGGTTGTTTAGTAGGAAGTGAGGGAAAGCACCACAACAGGATCTACTCCCTGATTCCTTTGCTATGCACCAAAGTTGTTTTCTCCAGTCCCCGGATACCCGCAGCTCCTTGGCCATGGTCAGCCTGAAAGATTGTTTCTTTGTACCAAAGCAACGGGTGACATCACATATATACTATATACGCCATTCCGGCAATGAACAATCGAACCCCCAGGTCTCTTGCCGCAATGCCAAAGACCATCGAATGTTGGGCGGTCCTCAAGTCTGGATTGGACCTACAAGTTCTGGGGGCCCCCCAAAGCGGGCTAATGTGATTAACTTGCGGAATCGGCTATGTATACGGTGCATCTCAGCTGCTGATTCTTGGAACAGCGTGATCAAACTTGGCTTCATGGTAATTCAGCAAGCATGAGCACAAATATTGGTTGTAAACTTGTAAACAAAAAACACAAAAAACCATCTATATAAGTGCTAAAAAACACTTGGCAGAAAAGTCATAATTGCTCAACTCCAGAAGAGCTTCTCTGATTATACATAGGATATCATAGGATTATATAGGCCTCTTGCCGATTCGAGAGTGAGTCCAAACCTTGCAACCCATGTCCGCTGCAAATGTGAACCTCGCCACTTTTGGAGCCATCGCCCAACTCTTTTTTTGTTTCTGTTTTTGTTTCGCAACATGTGCAACTCTGTCAGCTGTCGCCAGGAGATGCGTCCTACCTGGCAAAAGAGGGTGCGCAAAGCAAACACTAGATACACCAATGGGGTTGTTGGGTGGTGGGTAATGGAGTGCAAGACCCAGGTACAGTAGGTCTCAGCATAGGCTCATTTCTCCTCCTGCATCCAACAAACCCCTCATGTCCGGGACACAGTTGTGGTGAGGAGACACTTACAGTATATTTGCTTTGAGGGGTAATGAGGATTGTTGGGCAAAACCTCTAGCCTTTTTGTGGGGTCTGCGACAAACCCTTGCCTTTGCGAAGAAACCATGTCAACTCAAAGAGGTCACGCCTCGACGCTATGCGCCTTTGGTGGGCTCCTCGTCCACATCCACGACAATATGCGCCTCCACGAAACCAAGCTTGCCACGAAACGAGACCCCGAAAGCCACTTGATGGACTCAACTGGCAACAAAATCCAGCTGAACAATCTGAAAACAACATCATTCAGTGATATCCATATAATATATATATATTATATCGATGATATATAATCCAACTAGCAAACACTCACCTCAAGACCGATTTATCTCAACCGCACCACCCATCTCAATGGAGTTCATCCTCTGGTCCCGGGCCGGCGGAGACGCACGCGGTGTCAATGAGGGAGAAGCCGCGGTGGACTCGCCCTGAGAGAGCTTCGGATTGGACGACGGAACCTCTTCCAGGTACTTCGTGCAGTGCAGAACCAACGAGAGAGATTCGTCGGCAATAACCACCTGGTAGGACCTCAGTGGTCACCTCTGGTAATCAACTAAAGGAGCAAGTACAATTGTTGTGGCCTCCCGAGGAATGGTCATTGAGTTTTTGGATCGATGGACCTGTGTGATCTACAAGGCCCTATTTCAGCCATCATACCATTACAATCCAATGCCTATGAAATGTGGCCGCGGTCTAACAACTTCTGGTCAAAATACTCTGTCAGTACCTCAGAATCTGCACTGGTGGCTTGCCGGGGCTCCCCACTGTGGCTTTTGGTGCTGGAGCTAGGACCTTCAGTGAGGGGCCGTCGTGGGTGTCATGGCCCGGGCCGTGACTGTTGTAGTGATGGTACTGGTGCCAGTGCTGGTTCTGGTTTTGATTTGGTGATGTTTTGGGAATAGTACACCAAATTGTCTTGTATTTTTAAGTGTGCGGAGTTTGGTTTGGTCTGGCGCAAGGTTTCTCGGGTAGACGTCTATGCTGGCAATGAACCAGCTGTATCTTGCCTATGGCATGCTGCATACGCAGTGCACAAATATGGCATTCATCTAGCACAGCCCATGTCACTATAGAGTAATTACTGTAAGTACAGTAATTATCAAGGAGATGGCGGCCATCTGGGATAGATCAAACATCTGCCCATCCACTGGGCTGAAGATCGCCCTTCATCCTTGGAACTTCCAGATCTTGGAGTATTCCGACTCCAACCACAAACATGTTGACACTTGGCAAAAAGGGAGTTCCCTTGCCTTGGTGCTTTCACTTTCGGGTTGACCCCACCTCTCTGTCCCTCTCCCCCCAAAACCGGCGGATCGCTTCTAGGTCCCCGGCGGTCTGACCTGGCTGGGAAAATGAAGGTGTGTTCCTTTCATATGGGCTCGGAAGGTACCTAAATGCAACATCCGCTTCTTTTCAACTGCGCTTGAGTCATGTTGGTGTGCACATCAATTGCGACCTATCCAAAGCGGTCTCTCGATCCAGCATCCGCATTTCCGCAGTATCAACATTGAACGTGCCAGTCATGGATTCTCCTGCTAGCTACTAGCTCAAACCTCATGTTCTTTTTCAGAGCATCACGATCCAAGCTTGACGCCCCTGCCCTGCCTGGAGCACCTGCCTGTCGCATGGGCTCCGGTGCCCCGATGAAACCAGGGCGATGTAGCGACAAACCGACCAACTGCGGAGGTCAGAAATCCTGCACCACCCGGGGCGAAGGGGACAGGACAAACCAGTAATTAATTATATGAATCGATCTACATATTATACTGTTTGTATATGTTTGCATCCTGTGTTTGGGGGATGACAAATGGCGCATGGTGGCACATCATCTATTTATTCTATCAATATTGGATGGTGCAAGAGTGGGACCAACATGGACCAACCAATCCAAGCAACCATCCACCACCTAAACGACCGAACCATCCGACTATCCAACCAACCTTCTCTGACATGTGGCTTGGAAGCATGTACTGCTTTGCTGCTACTTGGATTGGGAAGTTCACCAGGCATCAATTTCTGACTCCTGTCTGCAAAACACCACCACTCTCGGTGTCAGCAAAACCAAGAGCTTCGAACTGGCTGAGCCTCTTGACCTCTCGGTTTCTTCGGTTGATGCCTCGTTCTGGCTTCTCCCCCACGACTTCGGTTCTGTGATTTCGTTCTAGCTTCCTGCTCTGTGGGATCCTCAAGTGACCCGTGCCGTTCCTTTGATTGAAACTCCTTCCGGACGGTCCGTGTTGATACCCCGTTCAGCAACCGTCAACAAACAAGCGGACTCATTAGCCTGTTAGGGATGCAAATTAAAACTCTTTTGGCTCTCAGGGTGATTGATTGGCCCAACTGCTTGTGTGCATGGGATTCTTTTTGGAGCATTCTACAGTTGAAAATGGCATTTGTCACATCAGAGCTGCTGTATGCCTTCAGTTTACAGGCAAAGCGTGCGGCCAAGCGTGCCTTCGGTGCCACTGGAAGCTTCTTCACTGGGGCGCCTGATCGAACTGGTTGGTGGACACGGGGGCGCTACGAAAGGCAAAGCGTGCAGGGATCCAAGAAGGCCTGAAGCCTTGTCGTCTGGGTGAGGAGTTGGATGGTGGACTTAAGAAGGACAAGTCCTTATATATATATGTATATGTTGGGTCTTGCCTAATAGCTGTAACAGTGAGCACAAACTAGAGCACTGGAGCACCATTTTTGCACGGTCAAAACGTCAAAAAACACTCCCACCCAACCAAGAGATGCGACGCTTTAATCATTCATCAGGTGTGGATTTACTCCATTCTTGGCAAACCTTGACTTACGTGAAAGACTCAGGGGTTTACCCAACATCAAAGATTCGGAGCCTGTTTGGCCCCTCTAGCTGACTCATGGAACAACATGACATCATTATCGCATGTTTGCACGGTCGGCCACATGCCCTCTGGACAGCTAAAACATTGTCAAGCAAATCCAATCACATCAGACTCCAATGACTCTGCCTTATTTTCCAAAATGGAGGTGACAAACTGAGCGTTCATGGACCATCAGTCAGTGCAGTCTAAGTCAAAGTGAACACCCCATCTGGATGAGGAGTTCATTGTCCTTGAACAGTGGGCGTCTGTATTTGCCTGGCGAAGGCTTCGACGGGCTTCGACTGGCTCGGTATTTGCCCCCTTCGGAAGGGTGGAGGAGCAGGTCTGAGACCTATCCCGTCTCCCCGGTCCAGCGAAAGGCACCAGTACGACTGCCAGAACGACTAAGAACAAGAACAAGTCCCCGAACGAATGTGACACTTGGCTCTGATGTCAAGTTGCTCCACCTGCCAAGCCACCAGCCACGCCTTCGCCGGAGCGGGCACTCTTCGCCGCGCGCTCCACCACCTGGCGGAGCTTCGAAGCGGATTTCTCGATGGAGGTGACCACAGGCGAACGCGAGGACCTGAGACCCCAGGTCCAAGCTGAGAACCACCCGAGATCACCCAAGGACAAGATACTTGGCAACAAAAACACCACGATATACCTGGTAACTTGAGATAGCAGGTATGTTTCATGGTACAAGTAATGTCCAAGTATTGTAGAACGCCCATGTGGGGATTACTCACATGATTACTCACAGGTCACCCATGGTCACCCACCGTGTCTCCTTTGACTCC